TCTTAGCTCTAGCTCTTACGGTTCTTTAAAAGAAGATTTTTTAAGTTTTTACTATATGCATATAGGGAAAATCAATGACCCCCAGGGGCGGGGCCAATTTTGACCCCAGGGCTTTTATTTGAACAAACTTGGTAGACACTCACTAGAAGATGTTTCATGCCAAATATCTAAGCTCTAGCTCTTATGTTTTTTTAAAAGAAGATATTTAAAGTTTTTTCTTTTGGTTGCCATGGCAACCAGAGTTCTGCATGGAATTAAATTCTTTGAACAATTTTTAAAGGTGACCACCAAAGGAACATTCCTGTGAAGTTTGGATGAAATTGGCTCAGTGGTTTATGAGGAGATGTCATTTAAAGCAAAAGTTTACGGACGGACGGACGGACGGACGGACGCCGGACGAAAAGCGATCACAAAAGCTCAACCTGTCACTTTGTGACAGGTGAGCTAAAAAGACAATATGGAATTCTTGTAAAAGAAAAGAATTGCCATGTAAATTCTATGGTAGACATACAAAATAATTTTTTCATCTGGGCGTATTTTACAGTTATCTTTTTTTACATCACCATCTTAACAATTATAACCTCTTTTTCACATGTACCGATAATTAGAGATAATCGGGCGCAAAATGTCAAAAAACTGATACCTATCATTATATGATAGTAAATCAAATCTTGATATATATAATATATATATCATCATAATTACAATATATATAGGCATGATGATTCTGCAAGTTTTATTGTATCCGAGTTTTATACAATAGTTTTATCTATTAGTTTTATATAAAAAATTCTTATTATGCAAAATTTATATGCACATGTACCTATTTCTCTTAAAACAAACATGCCTCTGACCTCTAGGTTCATGCAAATTTGGAAAATGTTGGTACATTTTGAGTGCCAACCTGCCATACCATGATTCCTGCTCATAGACTTTATAAAACAAGAAACTGTAATATGGTTTCTGTATAAAAACTGAAGTGTTTTTTGACTTTAAAAAATGTGGTTACATCATCGGCTTTCCGAATTATTACTAATGAAAGCACACATCATTCTTCTATTATTATAGAGTATGAGACTTGTAATCTCGACATTGTTGCTGTGTTTCCTAGGCTGGCCAACTAAGAATTATTATATCAGTCTTTCGGATCAGACTTTAAATCGAGGTCCCGTGTATGAGTGCTGAAACACTTAGCACGTTAAAGAACCAAGAGAAGCTTCTGGAACTGGGGCATCTTTCTGTATCTTGCACTATATAATCCTCCGAATTTTAAAATGACTAATACTCTTCTGGAGGGATTCCCCAATATTGACAACTAGTGGCAGTATAAATAAACTCAAACACCCTATGACAACTGTGTAGGGTTTCAGTTCCTTAATAGTCCAGTTGTTTGGAGTGCTATGTTTATTTGCCAGTGATCCAGTGATCTGACTTTGAATTAGGGAGTTTTTCTGATACACTTAAAACTTTCAATGTTCGTAACTATTAAGCGGAGAAAAATGTTGGTGATTGTATAGATAAAGTAATTTAAGTAAGCCTTAGGGCACTTGCTTTCCTGACAAAAAAATTGCCTTTTATAATTTGTCAATTTATGTATGCAACAATAGCCATGAATATAAAAATAGAATGAATTTACTCAATAGAAGACTGTAAGGTGTGTATAGATGTAAAATATATCAGTCTAAAGTTATCAGCATGATGTTTATTGGTTAAAATTTTGTAACTAATATATAATATATAATATCTGTCATGGTTCAGAACTGTTCACTATTTAGGGGTGAAGATGTGCAAGTGGCTGGATAACTCAGTTGGAAGAGCTGCGGAACGGTCTTCGGAGGGTTCGAGTCCTGGTCAGGTTGCACATTTTTCTCACCCTGCGACATATCTTATACCATTTGTCGGCTCCACACCAGTGTTTCAAATGGTTCATGAGGCTAAGTTGGTGGCTATTTGAGGAAGAATAGCTTACAACTGTGTTAGACAGGAAAATTTTAAATACTTAATGAATGTTAACTAATACTACACACCAGGATATTATATCTAAAATACTTGAGTCCTAAACCAAACTGAAGGAGAAAAAAGAAGAAAATTCCATTTAATCTAATGCAGATATGACATATTTCTAGAATAAAATCAACCAATTATCACATTTTTTACTTTAAGTTATGTTAAAAACCACTGCCTGGCTTCACCAAATAGAGTTATGAAATGTACGAATTGAATGTTCAAGACCTTGCATGCACATATGATAAAGAAAAATTATTTCTGACAGAATATTTATCATTGATTTAAATCAATTGTTATATGTCTGCTGGTGAGGACTCCGTGTGAAACAATGTCCTGTGGGTATTATGTGCAGACGTGTCCATCTACAGTCCACTGATGTCCACGGTCTGGCAGGTGTGAATATTATATTGTCTGATGAATCTAAATCATTTCTTACATGCTATGTTAGTTTTTTTTCTATCGGTTTATGTAATGTTGCATTCCAGTTGCCTGTAACTGTGGCTAGCTGTTGTTTTTATTGTGGCAGTATTACATTGATAATTGTTTTTATTTCATAACACCACAATTTCTACTTCAAAACACCACTATTTCAACTTTATAACATAATTGTTTCTACTTCTTTACACCAATGTTTCTACTTCATGACACCACTATTTCTACTTCATAACATCATTGTTTCTACTTCATAACATCAATGTTTCTACTTGACACCACTATTTCTACTTCATAACATTATTGTCTCTACTTCACAACATCACTGTTTCTACTTCACACCAGCACTTTTACTACTTCATAACAGCATAGCTTCTACTTCATTGTCTTTACTTCATAATTATCTTCCTTATATATATTTCTCATACTAGAAACTTCATTATTAATTTTATGCTCTATTAAATGAGTATATTTCTATATAATGATTTAATTATTTCTACTTTATAACTCAAAATGACAAAACAAATGAAAAAATAACCGAAATTTTCAACATCTTTAGTTTACGATGACAATTCATACATTATATCAATGTTAGATTATAATCATTATCCACTGCCAACATCATAAAATACTATTTGCAAATTCCTATAACCCTGCCCCCCCCCCCCCCCCCCCCCCCGCCCCCAATTTAGAAGATTACGTTGACACAGCAGTTTAATGGCACCGTGGAGACGCGCATGCACTCTGGCAGTCTCCCAGCAGATCTGGTCTAATCCTTTGATTTTAAACCCATGGTTCCACAATTTATGCAATAAAACATTATATTAATAAAAGTTTCGCAATTTCTCCTCAAGGCATGCATTAATATGAACAAAAAATCGTTCTCCATATTTTTTTCTTTTGAATTGTCAAATACATTCAATGATATTATCAGTAAAATGGTTTTACTTTCACCCTGCTTCAATATTTTTATATCATTATAGAATTTGTTTGCTTCTAAAATGTTGAAGGTATTTAAGAAAATGGTATTACTTGAATTACTTATCTTAAAATCTTGGTTCATTTTTCTCAACTTTGATTTTTTGAAAAGTTTTGGCTCATACAGCTTTAAAACAATATTTTTCTATTGATTAAAGTTTAATTATAATTTATTAAATATCTTTAAATTTCAACAAAATTTAATGGAATGTTTCACAAATACTACATTATCATATATTAAAAAGATTTTTGGCAAAACATAATTTTATGAAGAAAACAAGAGATCAAAATCTATACTTGATGACACTAATCAATTTGGCAGAGTGAAAACTTTTTCTAAAAGCATTGTCAAACATAGTTTAAAAATGACATGGTGTAATATTTATATGTGTGGGATTTTCTTACAAAATTTAATGAAATATCACATACTGTTATATTGTATATTTAATGCTTTATAACAACCTGATAATATCTGTCTGTAAAGTCAATGAAAATTTGCTATAATGCTCATTTAATGTCTTATTTATCCAATAAAACCTTTCTTATCAACATAAGAAAATGTCTCCAGGAAGAGCAAGAGAGTCTCCCGTCACATTTTCTGTACAAAACCTATCAAGTACAGGAGAATATATTTTGTATGTAAAAAATGCACAGCAAAATATCCAAAGTAACACAAACACGCAGAAAACCGGTTTCCACAAAATCTGTACAGCAATTATTCCAGTAAATCAACTTTTGTAAAAACAAAAAATAATTTTAATTTGCAAAAATGTTACCCAAAAAAATTAATAAACAATTTCCAACAAACTATCACTCTACAGTATCATATTTAAATCTATATACAATTAAATAAAGTCAATAAAAAAGAGCAGCACAATTTTTCTGATTTGAAAATAAAAATCAGTGACCCTCCTCACAAAAACAAAATAAAAAATTTACTAAAACATCGGCAAGAAATAAAAAAAAGAACAAAGTTTTAAATGGAAGCAATTTAGAGTTGCAGGAAATCTTCGTTAAATTTTATGTTCGAAACCATTAAAATTTCTGCACAATTTAACATGCCTTGAAGCCATAAAATCACATTCTAACATGGAGAATTATCATTTCATCGTATGTGATTTAGATTTTAGATATTCTAAGAAAATCGACAACCTTGCAAACAGAGCGGAGGAAAAAAATCCTGCACATTGCCTGCATTAATATTTAGAAAGGGAATGTCAAAAATGAAAATGAAACACATTTCTCATATCTTCATATCTACGAGAATTATACCAAAACATAACACAAAAATTCCCATGTTACAAATAATGATAAAAACAAAAAAATATTATACATGTATGTAATAAAAATCAGGATAATTTCAATAATATAATAATGATGCCAAAAGAAAAATATATATATAATTTTATACATATATAAAAATATATATATTTAAAACAAAATAAATTCTCATGTTACAAACAATGATAAAAACGATTAAATAACATGTGAAATAAAAAAATCATGATAATTTCAATAATATAATAATAATACGAAAAAAATATATATAGAAATATTTTCAAAAAAAGTGTCGTACAGCTTACCTGTATAAAGACAGCTAACTTCCATCCATCAAAAACTTCTTTCATTTGTTGTCTAGGAGTCTACAGGATACAGTTTCCCCCAATAATCTTCCCTACTTCACTGTAGGTATCAAAGACAAAATACCGTCTGCTTCTTTCACAGGTTCTCCCCTAAACATTCAAAAATATCCAATTAATCAAGATTTAACAAGCATCTATCATGATCTAGGTATCAAAATTATTGCGAATTTATCAAAATGTAAATTTTGTGGAATCAAATAAAACACGGGGAAATATAATCGGCACCTTCGCCACTAAAAACAGCGGGATTGTGAAAACGGTAATCATTGGAAAAACCATGAGAATCTCTGCTGCTACTACAGAGAGTCAATGAGTAGATGATTAGGCCAATGTAAATGTGTCTGTTTGATTCCTGTAGATGATGACTACATGTTAATCTTTACTTGTGGAGATTTGACGGAGGTAAAACAATATTTCGAATAAATTGTTGATGACAGTTTTTCTGTTTAGACAAAGATTAAAATGTAATGTTTAAAGAAATGAAAAATGAAATTAGAAACTTTGCAAGACTACACTTTTATTAAGGTAGTTAGATTTAAGTAATATGGAGTAAATAATTTTCCAAGTACAATAACTTAAATGAGGAAATGTAAAACATAAATTTTCTTTTTTTTATTATGGAATTGATTTTTTTCTAAGAACAACGAATCAATTGAAAAAAGAATTGAGGAATTGTCAATTTTCAAAGCAAAAATTGTATTTATGTATTATTATGGTACTCTGCAAAACATCAAGAACTCTGAGTTACAGTGTACATAACAGAAACTATATAAAGTGGGGACTCAAAGACAGATGAACATACAGATGGACAGTACATAAGCCGAGGCCCACATGGATGATCAGGAAACCAAATGTGTAATCCTCCTGAAATAAAGTCGTTACTTACTTACTACATACGTACTTATGTAACAGACAGTGTGATTTTAGTATGCCATCCTTCGAGGGTATAATAATTTGCTAGGACATGAAGCAAACAATTATTTGTCATTTTTTTGTTTGATATTGTCAAATTAAATGTTTCTGGTATTGTTTGGAAGGAACAAATGAAAGGCAGGATAATAGCTGGTGGAATCATAACATTTATTTGATAGAGGACAATTCTGTATGACAGATCATTATTGAACGATTCCATTGCCTCTTAAATAACAGTACCCTCATAAAATACCCTCATAAAATACCCACAGATATAATCATAACACTGACAGTGCAATACATGAAATCATCTTTAATGTGTTCCCCAACACCGTTTCCGTGACAACAAATTTTGAAAAAATGATAATGAAATAAATATAAAATGATTGCAGATAAGAGGTTATGTATGTGATTTGTTTAAAAGGTAAAAAAGATTGTTTTTTTCTTTATTGTATAAATTAATGTGAGAAAATTGCTATTTTTTATATCAAAATATGTTTTTTATTCTTCCATACAATTATCAAATGTATAAAAAAAAGTGTCATTTTTATAGTCTATATAAAAAGGTAATGAGGTGTAGAAATTGAAATTATATTAAATAGTATATTCAATAGTGATGATTTTCATTCAGATAAAAATTAATAAAAAAGTTTAATATTAGAAGATGTAACAAAAATATTTTTCTTACTTATCGAAGGTCAACTGAGTATCAATTTAAACCAATGGGTGCAGCCAGACCGACTTGAATGTCCCCTGCAGTCTGACGAGACTCTAACATTCTAGTATTTATTTGTCCGATTAATTTAACATTTTGATACTGAAAAATCTTCACCTTTACCAACCCTTAATAATACTTTGACTGACTTGAGAAAATTTTAAAATATGTACTGACTGAATAGCTAACAACGCAGACCCTTGATGATCAGTTGACTTGGCACCGATGTGCTGGCTCATCTTTGGTCTACACTAGTTGTACATAGAGCTGTCATCGATAGAGACAATATCGATGTATCGTTGATATTTTTTTGTCGATCGATAATCGATACACATTTTAAAAAATCGATACTTTTGACTTATAAATTAGATGTCTAGAAATTATACAATTCACCCAAAATATATGCAGAAACAATTATTTATATCAAATGTGATGCTTTTGTTATATAATGGAATTATTTCATAGCAATGGTGACAAAAAATATTGTCTAGAAAAAATCATGCAGTGGACAAGACACTCATGTACAGAACATGTTTTTGACTGAAATCATTGAAACAGGTATGAAAATGAATGACAGACAAGTGAGTATAGGATATTATCGATATATCGGTGTATCGTTGATTTTAGTTACTTGATATCGATATATCGTTAATATGCTTTGCTCTGAATCAATGACAGCTCTAGTTGTACAGGCAGAACCAGTTGATGTAAGCAATTTTAGGATTATAACTAAAATATAGAATCATTTTTATTAAATCTAATGGACTTCAAAAACAAGTCAGTTATGTTTGCATTGAACCTTTCGACATCTTGAATTTGACTGAAAGTTTCAAATCTTGCTTGTTTATTTATTCTGTGAAGTCATCGTAAAAGTGAATTATTCAATTTAATCAAAAATGATTGTAAAAATAATTTGATTTGCCAATTTTGGTTTTCACAGCAACCTTTTCAAGTTCAGTCAACCTGAACTATGATAAAGTAAATATAAATATCCTTGATTAAAGAAAAATGTCATTATGTTGATTATATTCATTTGTAATTTTGTTGTTGTGCTTGAAATATCAAAAATTGCTACACACTAAGGTGATTTTTCAAGGAGCTCCTTCCCTGGTCCAAAAGCTTAAAAGTTTGATAATCTAACATACAGTGTAAAGTATCCCAGCAGTTCCCGTACAAAAATCGTAGTTACTTAAACATTATTTTTTATTACGCTCACTCACCAAAATTTGAATGTTACACATCAATATTCAGCTCGTCACACAAATCATGGAAATTCCATCATGTTCTAAACATAGAATAACCCTTAGTTATGAGGCCTCATATGGGGTACCGAAATTATCAATTATTTTGTATGAAGAGAAGTAGTTCCCGTACATAAAATCTAACCCATTATAATTATACAATTTTATTATATCGGACCTATTTTTCATTTACAATTGTTGAACAGACCATTATCTAAAAGATAAATAGATGTAATTCAGGAAATAGAGCGTAGACTAAACGCGGGTATCTATTACCCGGTACCGTTACCCCAACGCATTTACAGGCAATAGCATGCTTGTATGCATGATATTTTACGCATCAAAGCCATAAAATTATTAATATATAGTAATATTGGTCAAACATTCTGCTAATTAAACAAGTTTTCATCACATTGCCTACTTATTTGTAAACAGGTGGTATTAGTGGAAAACCCTTTAACAAGCCTCACGTGTAAGTATTTTTGCGCATGCGCGCAAGGACGGAATCCCCCAGAAAAAACAAGGTCACGTTTTGACGACGCACAGGTGAAAGTGATTTAAAATGAGACTTTATATACGTACTGCCGAACTGACACTTAGATTTTGTCTCGTTTATGTATCTGCTTGATTTGAAATGAATTTTTGATGAATGCAAGTAAAAATCAAGCGTTTAAATGAAAAATACGGGTACTGCTTCTGTACGGGAACTGCTCGCATGCCAGTACCGGTATAATTGTAAAAGATTAAAAAAAATATACTCAGAATTAAATCGAATTTAATGATGGTTATACAGTAATGTTTGAATAGATAACATCATAAGTAGTCCTGTATTTCTTGATGTCCAAACTTAAAAATTTATTAAATCGGATTCCTAAAAATTAACTTTCTGCTGGAAGTAATCTGTAATTTAGCCAATATATTATAACAATATATTAATTGTTTTCTCCCTATACCCTCTATTGTAATAGTGCACAGTTATTTTGTCTTCACACATTTTCTACCTTATAAAAATGACAACAAATATACCATTTTACCGTTTTGAGAAACGTTAAAACATGGATTAGATTGTCGACTATGATCTCAAATTGACGCTCTACAAGTTAATCTATTTGTAACTTTTATGTCAACACGAAAAATACAATCATCAAAATGATCCCCCCAATTAGCTACTTTAGGCGCCAATTTTTTCTTTTTTCACGTTTTACGAGTCACAAACCTTACTCGGGATTATCTGGGGAAGAATCTCTGAACCAAACTATTCCTTTAAGACATTAAGACTGATAAATATTCGCAGTGCCATTTTTTTTTTTCATCATATACGTCTAGATCAGAAATGTTATTCGAGAGTTGCAAAAAAAATATAAAGTCATCACAAGAATCATTCAATTAACAGACTCCAAAACATATCGTGAGGTGAATTTGTTCTCGTATAATGAAATCGGAACCAGACTGTTTGATCTTCTGCTTTTCTAGAAGCAGACGGAACTTGTATTATTTAAATCTTTACAATGTTAACCCTTAACCCGCTGAATTTCTTAAATGGACATGTTCAGCTTCTATTTTAGGAATCTTCCATTATCAATTTCGGTGGGAAGACGGACAAAACCCCACACGTCAAAACCCAAAAACTCTGAAAAATTAAAAGTGTGGGGTTTTGTCCACTCTATAAAATTCATGTGTGGTGAATTTTGCAGACTCGGTTTGACTGAGTCTGTACATGAGGGATAATTTAAAAGTGCAACAAGTTCCTCACGCACCCTAGCACCGGTATTAGTGGTACTTAAAGCTGGAATCAATGATCCTGAAGGACCAGAAAAATTGGCAGGAAAAAGCTTATCATTTTCAGTTGTAAATAACGTCCTGCTTTAAGTCAGGAAAAATAAAAAGTTTTTTCTAGGTTTTTTTTTATTTTAAAGCCCTAAATTTCAAAAACAAACATGATGGAGACTGTTAAATGGCACAACAATTGAAGTGGTTCAAATTGTATGTCTGTAGCAGGTGTACCTTTATTCACAGACACACCCTCAATTGTAGCTCGCAGTTTGCTCTCAAATTGCATGATATGTTTTTTTTTTTTGGAATCATTACGTAACTTACACCATGAGACATTACATTGACAAGAACATTGGCAGGTGCTCTAGCAACCATGACTTGACAGATTTTCAAATACAGATGACAATAGATTTAACTATAATAATCTCCTGTAATAATTGCTTTTAAACTAGAATCCAAGTATTGCTTTATCATTGACTGTGTTCATTTTGAGAAAACAAAAATCAAGATAAAGAAAACTATACGACAAAGCCCTATAATCCAAATGGTGATTAGTCCAGTGTTCCTTCCCCTCACACTGTGTTTCCGTACTAAATGTAGGCAGAGAACAAGACTA